TGGCCCGCGAGATATTGGACAAAAGAAACTCGGATAGTAGTGTCAACTAAATCCGTAGTGTTACAACAAAAGTGCTTTAAACGAGGTAAGTTACGAATTTTTGTTCTCAATCGTCGTGTGTGGGATTGAATATTACATTAGTTTAGATTTATTGTCCCCAGGGGGACATTCATTTTCACAGCTCTGTGAAAACAATATGAAATCAACAACAAATAAGACAGACAACTACAGCACCACACATGATGGTTACTTGTTATTATTTAGGGCTGCCTGTATGGATCAGGTGTTTGCCAAAGTGAGCCCTTTTACTATAATAATAATAATAATATGTTGTGTATTATATAAACCATATTGGTACAATGAGCGACATCTAGTGACGGATTTTGGAACACTGATTTGATTTCTCATTTAATCTGTGTCTGTCCATTTGGTGTAGTATTTTATCCAATATTACATTTGGTTTATATATTAGTCACTTTCTTATGAAATGCCAGGTTTTAGGCCTTGATTTGAACATTCAATCCTGGAAATAATTGTTCTTTAATCCTGACCTGACTAGAGTAGGTAGTAAGTAAGTAAATCTGTATAGGAAGACGAGTTAAGTGATAGAGGAGAAAAGGTTATGGTATAATTACAGAGCCTGTCCATTTATGAATTGAAGAAATCAATATTAGTCTGTTAACCAAAGTGCAGCCATCTATCTATCAACTATCTGTTATTAAAGATCAGAGGAACAGAACATAACGAGAGGGGTCAATCCGGAATAACAATAAAGAAGCAAAAAGATTGTAGAGCAGTGAGAAGGAAAAAAGCTTGGTGTGTCAATTCATTACATTGCCAGTATTTTTCGTTGTTGTGAACAAAAAATCGCCCCCTCTGATTTTTTAACAGCCCCCTCTGTCATTTCATCTTGGAGCCGGGCCTGGTTGACGTAGACCCAAACGTCGCCCGGAGGTCCCCCGATGTTGTTGCGGGAGCTGCTGCACTAGCTAACACTGCACTAGCTAACGCTACATTTGCACACAAAAAAACGCTACATTTTTTAAAAAAAAGGTGCAGCGGTCTTCAAACACGTTCCCCTCCACTGGTTTCAACCAAGCACTACATTCGATGTTTTCCAACCATATACGGTTGAACTTACACTTCCCCATATTTATTTGTAAGTAGATTCGAAGATACCCGAGTTTCTGACTGCCGCTAGCTGAAGCTTGGTTGCTAGGTTATGTCGTAGCAGCTTTCTAAACAGCTGTGGTCTAGAGAGAATAATCAGTAAGGTAACAAACGTACAGCAACACAATATTCGTATTAAAAGCAATAAGGATCTTTTATACTTGCAAGTATGACGTCTCCTCCAAAAGAGCACATACAGAGTGAAACAGGCTCTCTTTATAGGAGGACATCAAAGCAGATTTACATTACAACAACATTCTGGGAGGCCAGCTGATACCCCCTCTGGCACAGTATGCAAAACCATCACTCAATACAGAGCAAAAGGGATACAGATAACACCTTATCCTAACTTCCTTCTCCTCATCCTTCCTGTAGTGTCATAAAACCCCCTTGCAGAAACATCTGTTGATCACTCACACACATTCAAAGGTCACTCCAGGGATTTGACCTAATCAGTCAAACCGTTGACATGACATTTGCAGAATACAGCAGTTTACATTTCATTAGGTTTACACTCTATTAAGCTTTAGTACCATAATTTTCATCACAGTTACTAGCTGGATGTTCTCTGATAAGGGGCCGGGGGAAACAAAGTTAGTGATTACTGGTTCCATGTTGATTTATTTCAATACAAATTGTTGGGGGGAACTGAAAGGCTGTTACCGTACTGGTTACTTTGCAGCACGGACATTTCCCCCAAAACACATTTAGACGTGATCGCAACACAGAAGTACCTTTCAAATCCGATAACTTTTAAAACCTTCTAAATCATATTTAAGACCTTTCTTATTTGTTTTGATCATATTTAAGACTTTTTTAGGCCTTAAATTCTGATTATCAAATGTAAGACTTTTAAGACCCCGCGGGAACCCTGATCTTGCAAGAAACAGCGTCTGAGGGCTTCTTAACATTTTACAAACTATGAATGTGTCATACCCACTTAACGGGAAGAAACTCAGCTATTATACAATATTAACCATTTTTAGCTAAACAAAACACAAGGGTAATACCAAGCCTCTGAATTAGCCCTGAGCGAAAAAATGCTAACGCACTTAGCACAGAACTCACAGGAGAGATACCTTATTACTTATCGGATCTGCAAAAACAAGATATCACATGAAAGCTGAGATTCCACAGATTCCAGAAGTATAAGTATCAACACTGTGACCAAAACTCAGGGCAGCGAATGTGAAACCAGACAACACACAACTTAGCTTTACGGAGCCAAAACGTCAAAAAACGTCTTACCTTTGATGTTTTCTGATCAAAAGTTGTGTTCAATGGCATTAAAACGATAAACATGCTACTGAAGGTTAATCCAATGTGTCTGTGTCACTTTGAAATGATTACTGATAATCCATCAATCAATAACAGAGTTTTCATATATAGCTGCTATGATAGCTACGAGAGTGTATGACAGCTTCCGGTTTTGGGCATTCTGGCTACGCATCACTCATTCACCAATGGGTAATGTTTAGATGGATTTTAGGAACTTCCCTCTCGATTATATTGGCACTAACGGTTAAAAAGAGATGTCAATCATCAAAATCGACCGATGGGTTCCAGAGATATGGAAAATCCACCCAAATGACCCCAGAAGTGGAGTTTTTTCTAAATCTCTCTAAAAAGGTCAAATGTCACTTGTTTTGCATCAATCTTGATACAGGGTACTTATTATATGTTATAGTTTGGATTCCTAAAGCTTTTAGTCTACTATCCCATCATTCAAGGGTGGTTTTCACTATAAGTAATGGGTTTTTTTGGGACGGAAACTATCATTTACATTTTTTTACTATGTTCAATCTGAATTTACTTTAAAATAAAAACATTCTATATTGATTCTGACTTTTCTACATCCAACTCACAGGTTTATCATTGCTTTGACAAAATATTATTAATTTACCCCTTTTAGAAGTGAAGATATAGTCATTTGTTCTGGGAATGTCATTTTTGAGCCTGAGACCTGAAAAACAGGCTCGGTCCTTAACAGGTTGATCATGATGTCAAATGTTGGATAATTTGCAAGAAAGATTTCAGACTCAATTTGACTAAGTATTATCGTATTGTAATTATGGATCTTCACAAGTTGCAGTTTAGCTAGGGATACATTCAGATCTATCATGCTGACTATGTGAATCAGCAACGTGTCCCTGTCCTAAATAACATGAGGGCTGCATATTTAAGTTTTTAACACAGTTAGATATTCTTTTGAGATGTACACATCTACAAATGACTAATGTAGTGTTCTCATGCAGTGTGTTGAAACTCTGGTGTAAACACTGAGTTAAACCGCAGCCAATGAAGACAGAGTCGTAGTAAGTTTGACCGTTTACTGTCACAATTCTTCATAGACATGGAGGTGAAAACTGTAAATAAACACAAAACATTGTTCTTAATGTAAATACAAACTTAAATTGCTTTCCTGCATTATTTACAGTGTTTAACATAGTTGTAAATAAATCATAACTAATCAATGATCTTTGTAACAATATTCTTCCTAATAAATGATCTTTCAGATGAAATAGGTCAAATAGACGAATTTACAGCATTGCCTCTAGGATGTTTCTTGTGGATGGAAGCAGATTATATTTGGAGAAATACACTCTCTGGCCATGCTGTTTCTCTAACGTTAAACCGGAAGTGGCGATGCCGTAAACCGGAAGTGACGCTAAGAACGGCGAACTTAAAGATAACATGACCATTAGCACTCCTAGTGGTGACTTTATGAACTGCAAACAAATTATAACATTATAAAATGCCTTTAAGACAGCAACACTAAACTGTAATGTGTTTGGATTCAGGAAAAAGATGACGGCACTCCTGGAGACCTGCTGATCAAACAGGCCCGCAGTAGCGAGGCCACGGTCCAGGCCACGGACCAGTATGCCCCGCGGGTCAGCATCGACCACAAGTTGAGCCTGCGCATCACACAGGCCTCGCTCAGAGACCAGAAGACCTTCACCTGCATGGTGGTGTCCGGCTCCAACCTCATGGAGTACCCCGTCACCGTCAGCGTGTGCAGTAAGCCCAGTCCTGACTCACAGCAAGCATTATGTTGTTCATGTCAACCTGAAATCTGTCTGCAGTGTTTCTCCATCAATCATCAAGTCAGTGTTCAACATCAATAATTTGTTATGTTAAGAACCTTACAAAAGATATATTTTTTGGATTGCAAATATGGAATTTATTTTTGTTTAAAATAAAGGCATTGCACACAATTTGAAAAATAAAGAGAGTAGAAAATAAACAAATAGAAAATATATACAAGTTGACCGTGAAAGATACAAATCTGTAGACTGTCTGACAAATAAACACAATTATGGGCAGTTATAAATTAGATCAAAGCATGGATCCATTGGGATGTCCTTCAAAATGGCGTGTCTTGATCGATTTCCGGGTCAAGTCTAACTTCTGTTAGACAGCTATCATACTGAATACATATTTACTGTGAATGTATGCAAAAATGTATGGCATATGGCTGTCTAACAGAAGTTAAATTCATTCCTCACTTATTCTGACAATGTACTTAAAGAGCCTGTGACACGAGTTTCCCCCATCATCCAAACCAATCAATTTGAGTAAATATTGTCCCCTTGAAAACCGTTACTGAACTGATTTTGGATATTTGTACTTTGATAACCATTAATCTGCCCTTCAATGTTGACCATTTTCTGGATCTTCTCGGGGATTCTTCAAGTCCCGCCAAATTACGTGTGACGTCATTGCGGGCCACAGCGCTCCAGCTGCACCGTTCAGGATCCCAGCATCTGCATGTAAACGCACGATGGCACACACAGCAGCAAGCTCAGACAGCGATGACAGTTTCATTTTGAACGTGTCTGAGAGCTCATATGAGGCTGAAGGATCGCTTTATGTTGTATCTGTTAGAAGTTTAGGAATTAGGTGCGTCAATATGGGCAATCATACGGTCATGTAGCCAGTGGTGGAATGGGACTAACAATCATCCCGGGACTCTCGACCGGCCCACTTCGGTACCGCTAGTAAATTGTCAACGGGGGGAGTGGGGGATGTCAGGGGCGGCGGGTGCTGTAGATAGTAAATGTAAATATGTAAATATTTGTGTCACTGCATCCTGGTAAAATACAAATATAATGCAATGTCTGTGTCTTTGACATTAGCGCTGCTAGCCACCTGTGCCCTGTACTACGAAGCCAGTTCAACATACCCTGGGTATGTTTGAGTAACAAACAAACTAACAACAACAAACTAACAAACGAGATCTCGCTAAGCGGTCCTACGACGCTGGTTATCAACTCGGTAAATCAAGCCAGGGTTTCTCTCTCCAGCTGAGAGCGCGTTCACGTCTAAGACACGAGTGGATCTGACTTTAATTACATTTGACTCGAGTGTTTCGTCAACATAATGTGTTGCTTAAAATAATACTTCTGCATACAGTATGTGACACTGTAAGTGTTGCACGGCCAGATACGGCTGGAGAAGCTGACTCAGATAAGGAAATATATGATATATTATGATATTATATGATCGATGATCTGATTGTTAATGTAATATGAATGATAAGTGCGACACGTCTGCGACTTCTCCGCATACGGCAGTTTATTTCCTTTATCCTGTAATATGACTTGAGAGATTTAAACTCCGCACACTGAGTTGATCTCTTTTCTATAGACGCCGGAGCCGTAAAAAAAGTTATTTAGCCTTCCCAAACCTGAGCCTCACGCGCCGCCTATGGGGGATGTGCTAGTGACTTATCTGACCGGCCCACTTCGGTACCGGCCCATCGGAGAAAGAGAAAGATTCATTCATTTAAATACATTTTTAACCAGAAATGGGCCGGTTCTAAGGGTTCCTCAGTTCAGCCCGATGAGAGGGGATACAGCTGTGCACATGTCATCATTAACAGACGTCGTTTAAGAGTGACGTTTGAGTGAACGAGGCCATCCCAATTAATACCTGAGGACTCCTCTGTCCTCGCGTCACCTCCTCGTGTCTCTCGCTCGCATCTTACGGAGGCGGAGCTAAGACGCAAGGAAGGGACGCGAGTGAGGGAAAGGAGGAGTCGAGGAGGGGTATTGGGATGAGGCTCTTCTCTTCTTCTCCTGACCTCGGCTGACCGGACACATGGGGAGAGCGCCTCCTCTTGCAATTTCATTTGTACACCACCGCATATTTTGTGTAATTAAATGCTGTTAACTTTTACAAGCTTCCCTTGACTCTTTTCAGTCTCTCCTGCCTTCAGGGTTCTAGAATTACTTACAGATCCCAGTGATGATGGCAATGCGTGTATATCTCCGCACTAATTGAGTGTGTCCGGAATGCTGCCAGGTGAATGTGAAGCAGCATCACTTGTGTATCATTTCCTGTGCTAAAAAGATAAATCATATTACATGTATTTTGGCATAATTACTAGGAAGCCACTAAGGTAAACAGAAAGTCATTAGCTCTGACCTAAGTCCAAAAACAAATATGTTTGTGAAGACATAAAATAAATGTTGCCACGACTTTGTGTTATTCTGAAACCTGATGGTCTGCCTTTGTCTTTCAGAGAAGCCGTCTTCAGTTCAGATCATGGACCGCTCGGCTGCGCTGCAGAAGGACAGAGCCACTGCAGTAAGACTCATGCTTTGTGTTGTTCTGTTCACTGACGTCATGTGTGCAGGCTTTTCAGGAACTGCAGTACCTGTAGTGGGAGCATTGTACATTGAAAATATTTACATATTATTTGATTAAGCTCGTGAATTCATACTTGTTGCATAGTGGTCAGAATGTTACATAAAACCAGTTGAGAGTATTGTTGAGTTGTGGCTTATAGACATCACACTTGAATATATTTCTAACACATTTAACTAAGTGGCCACACTTTACTTTGCTTTATAATACACTTTAATGTAGTTGTTATCCTTTGAATGACATTATACTGTTTTATGATTGTTCAATACATGTTTAGATGCTGCATGTAAATGCTAATACATGAATCCACATGCCAGGAGTCTGACATGAAGACACACTGTAAATGAGACCATGTGATACACAGTTGTTGGATAGGACCCTCTGTGGGTGAGGGGTTTTTGGCTGAGGTTAAGGGTATATCCAGCACATAGGACAGTGTGAAATCAAAGCCATCGTAATTTGTCAACAGAGGGAAGAAGAGAGGGTCTGCTCAACCACAAAAGCAACAACACATGCACATCCACTCCAATACACGCATCCCTTACTCTGCTCTCTTCAGCTCTCTACAGTTGCTCTGATCCCTTTGATTGGCATTTCAACTGCTCAGTGATTGAAACAACTCATGTTGAGAAAACAAAGGTCAAAGCAGTGTTATTATTTGGATATCTTGAATGATGTATTACCCGTTTCTGCAAGCATTTCTGCTGCATGTGTGCTTAGCGTCACTACATTACTCGCTATTGTGGAAATTGGAAATGCCAATGATGTCGATTTAAACTTGTCTCAAAGCCTGAGCACCTAGCAGCTGACTATTGGTTCTGCAGGCAGCACGCTGTCTGCAGTCCAGTCCAGGAAAGCTTTAATGTCCTAGTCGCAATTATACCTGAATGACTAATCAGACCTGCCAATTAAAATGTAGGTTAACACCTGTATACATTGGAATTGTAGCATGTGTTTGAGATGCTGACAGCAGTCCTGATGTTTATCAGTAAAGATAAGTCTAGCAGAGGTGTGAAGGGATCACTGCTTTGTTATATATGCATGGCCGTCTCATGTGGAGATAAACTTCAGACGCCTACAGCAGCAGATTGTTTGTTTGGTTACAAAACTAAGTCAATGTAATGCTATGCACTAGTCTTAATGGTTCTTAAGGCTGCAGCCACACAAGGACGATAACGGTCGTATCCGCTACAGTTCTCTATCAGATCGACGGTTCGCCCACACAAGGCCGACATGGAATAGCATAAAATGATAATGATAACGGGTCCCAAGGTGGGTAGATCTGCGAACGAAACGCTCTGGGGGGGCAAATGGCTCCGTGTTTACGCCTATACGATCATTTCCTGATAACGATGACGCAATAGCCCCAGTGTTTCGAGCCAGGTCCCGTTATCTCGCAGGGCAGTGCACCCAGCAGGAGCTTCCAGCTAGATTTGATCAATATGGACATAAACGCGAGCGAAGTCTAATCGGATAGGAGAGGAGACACGCAGCTCGGCATGACAACCTGCAGCTCCGCCCGCTGTGATGGAGCGATGAGCGGAACAAAACACACACTTCAAGTTAGATCATCACCCTTAGCTATTTTAATTACCTCTCAAAGTACCTAAACTAGTTATGAAAATGTTTATTTTGACTGTCGGGTCACTCATTACTAGATCAGCTGCTACATGAGACCACGGATACTGACGGGCTGTCAGGAGAGGGGGAGGAAAAGAGAGGCTCCGTCCTCCGTGTATTATTCTTATATTATTATATAGAGTCGTTATTCATTTGTTTTAAAGCTCAATAAATAACAAAGAAGACCTTTGACCGGCACATTTCTAATTTTGTCCGGAAGATTTCAACTTTAACGGACATGTTGACCGGCGAAACCCCACCTCTGCTGCTAAATCCAGCGCGGAGAATAAACAGAAGGGCAACCATGCATGCGCGAGAAGTCTTCTTCGCTGCTTTTGGTGTATTTTGTGGCAGAAGTACAGCTCCACTTACAGGCCTGGCATATGTACTACAGCGTCTCCAGCGCTTTTGAACGGTCTCGTGTGAACGGACACGTTTCTGGTGCCTGTTGCGTGTGGACGGAATACTTTTTTGATAACAATTTTGGTCCGTTTGCGTTATCGTCCTTGTGTGGCTCCAGCCTAAGACTCTTTCAAAAATTGCCCCAAGAAGGGGATAGATGAATAGACAATATAACATGGACTTGTGGATCCGTGGAAATCAGACTGATTCCTCTGTTAAGATAAAAAGATGAGTGTTGTCAAAAATGTGTTTGCTTATGGATCTATCACTTGGATGGGAAACGTTGGACACTATAGGACTATTTTTACATGAATGTGCTGCAGTAGGAAAGTCTCTCTAATTCTGTTTCTCTCTTCAGTACATGAAAGCACCAGCAGAGTTTGTGACATCACAACTATGTTGGCAGCCAGTCCTTGTGCAATAAGCTAACAAAAATAACCTCCAGCCCAGGACACAATGGCGCTTTTCCACTGCAGCACAGTTTAAGCGGGACGTGCCAAACCCGGCCCGTTTTGTTTTGCATTTCCACTAGGGTTAGTTCCGGCTCAGGGCTACTTTTTCGCCTTTTTTCTGGCCCTCCAAAATCAAGGTTCTAACCGGGCCAACAACCGGGCTGAATATGCTAAACTAGTGACGTAAACACTCTCGACTGCTGAATGGTCAGAGAATTGCTGGCAAGGGGGCTACAACTACAACAAGATGAACATATTTGACCGTGATGTAATTATAATACACGTTTCAAAATGATGCCGAAGTAACAACATACAGATACCGGTTAGTAAAAACCATGAATTAATGCTTTGACAAGTCTGCAGACAGACGGCAGGCGAAAAACCTTTTAAAATGCGTGTTTTCTAAATGGAGATCGGATCGATCAGGCTAAGCTAACGTTGTAGCTGCTCCGTCCACTCTCACAACAACGGCCTACAGACATAAATAAAGCAGCGACTGTATTCGCCATGACACAGGCAGTCTGTGGTTTGTACTTGTTTAACTTTTGTCTAGTTTCTGAACAGATATGAGGAGCTGTGAGCTCTGAGTGCTAACAGCTAACGGCTGATTTTATGGTTTTGTGGTTCGCATTGAAGATGACGTCACGGCAGTTTTACACAGCGTCGCTCCACCCACCGAACAGCCGATCGCCCCGCCTAAGATAAGATAAGATAAGATGGACCTTTATTAATCCCCGTGGGGAAATTCAGTTTAAACAGCAACAGGGTAAGAGTGAAAAACAGGATAGCACAGATTCAAATAAAAAAATAAGATCAGCGATACAAATAATAATAATAATAATAAACTATGAAATAAGAAATGAATAACATTTTTATTTGAATTAAAACGAGCATATATACATATTTGGTCATATATAAACTATAGGTAAGAAATGAATGAAAATGGACATATGTCCATTTTCATTGAAAAAATTTAGAGTAATATATGACTCTACATATAGAGTAATATATTACATATTAGATATATTAACATGGGTTGTGGAAAGAGTGTATATTTATGTCTAGTAATAGTTTCACATTATTGACCCCTTGTTGTTCAGCCTGATGGCTACAGGCACAAAGGACTGTCCGAGGCGCTTGGTGCTGTGTCGTGGAGGGATGAGTCTGTGGCTGAACGTACTCCTCATCTTCACTAGCTCTGCATGGAGTGAGTGGGAGGGGTTCTCTAGGATACTGTCTAGCTTCCTCCTCACCTCCTCCAGATTGTCCAGTTGTACTCCAACTACAGAGCTAGCCATCCTCACAAGCTTGTTCAGCCTGTCAGTGTCCCTTGTCAGGAGGACGTTGGATATACAGAGTTGAAGAGGTGGGATGGAAAGCAAACCGGCTGAGGTGTATCTGAGAGACCGGGGTGGTTGGTAGAGGATGAGGAGGTCAGTGAGGTAGGGGGGGGTCAGATGGTGGAGGGCTTTGAAAGTGAGGACCAGGAGTTTGTAATGGATGCGGTGTGAAACGGGGAGCCAGTGGAGTTCTTTGAGGACCGGGGTGATGTGATGCCATGATTTGGTGTGGGTGAGGAGTCTGGCGGCAGCGTTCTGGACACGCTGGAGTCTATTGAGGGATGTAGTGCTGATGCCGTAGAGGAGTGAGTTGCAATAGTCAAGGCGGGAGTAGATGAAGGCGTGAATGAGTCGCTCAGCTGCAGGGCGGGTGAGAGAGGGACGGAGTTTGGCAATATTGCGGAGGTGGAAAAATGAGGTTTTGACAACTTGGCGGATGTGGGGCTCGAGGTGTATAGATATAATCTGGTTAGCTAGCTCTCAGACTGAGAGACTCAGTTAGATAGTTAACTTTAGTCTAAGTTATCTCAGTGGGTCTCAAACGGTTTGGTCACAAATTATTCAAAAGATTATTTCCGCGGCACACCTTCATATGATCACTATAGTTATAAAAAAAATAAGAGAATAAAGGAAAAACAGTTATGAAATACTATATGGCAGTAAAACAAGAATAAAGTTTAAAAGGGGAGTGATTTGTAAAATATCCATAAAGAAAAAGAAAATCTGATTACAGTTCTGTTTCCTCTGGGTGCTGAGAGAGGTATCCATCTCTTCATGTTGCTCTCAAAGTGCACCAGATTGATGCTTTTAACTTCAATATTTAAAAAAAAAATCTTCCCGGGGGAATATCCCCCCGGACCCCCCTAGAGAGGGTGAGGTCTGCCCCCCACTCATAAAAATAGCACTTTACCCCTGCCTATATGCCGTGAGCTGATTATCGAGCCTTCATTGTAACAGTCGCGGGTGTATTGTGTGTGTGCGTGTGGGGAGTGTTGCAATAGAAAATTCCACTGTAGCGCCGCGGCCGCCGGCCACTGTGGGCTAAGCCTTGAATGTTTTCAGGTCCAGGCGACGCCCCTGCTGACAACAACAATAGTTTGTAAAGGATTTATTGACGTTACAAGGG